ATTAAGCATTCTTCTTTCATAATAATCATTTAATTCAAAAAAAAAAAATTGAATTATCAAGTAAAATAAATAACAAAATGGATATCTTTTTCTATGTACTTTGTAATATTGCACTATTGCTTGCATCGTATATTTCATTCATTTCCTTTAATTAATTACAACCTCTAGTCACACTCTAAGACACCTTATTACTCACTTGTTTCAATGTTCAACGAAACGAATGATAAAACGCGCAAGTTCTACCAGGCAATTAACTTTATGTACCTATTCAAAGGAAAAAAAAAAAAAACGACATCTGTCAGAAGTTAAATGCGAATTTAAACATTCACAATTTGCTATCACTTTGCATACACTTCAAGTTTCATTATTATTCAACGTGCAAATAATGTAAATCAGATAATACCTGGCTAATTGATCATTTCAATATACAGAATGAACCACGTGAAATGTTACAATCTGTCTTCTCTGAAACTCTTAGAGATATCGACTTGAAATTTCAACACGTTAAATGAATTTCTTTTTTAAATAAAAAGTGTTGACAAGCCTAACAACTTTTATCTGAAACATGTTCCCCTATTCTGCATAGTTAAAAAGTTATAGCGAAGAATAATTTTTTTAATAGTAATTTTGATATTTTGATAAACATTAGTTTATTTATTCTCTATGGAGCTGTTTCACTTTATGCATTCGAATCTTTGCAACTTATCATCAGTAACACACAATTACACCCTAAAGTCAATTTCTAGTATTCCCTTCGTGGCATCCAAGCTCGATCTGATTGAAATTCGATATTTGAGAATAAACATCCGCCTGATCTCCAGTCATAACACCCACCATACTCGCAAATTACAATTCAATCATTTTCATCGAACGTAATTAATATTTAACATTTTTTTCATTTTCATCGTCTTCGATCCACGCCAAAATTACTCTTAAGAAAACTATTCTTCGCCATGACTTGTTAACTGTGCAGAATAAAAAAAAAAAAAAAAAATGTTTCACATGAAAGTTGTCAGACTTGACAACAATTATCGGAATAAAAAAAAAAATTCACCCTCACATACTCTAAAATCTAAAATGTTAGCCCCTATGAACCATTTAACGTGTCCAAATTTCAAGTCGATACCTGTAACAGTTTCAGAAAAAACACATCCTAACATTTCACGTGATTCATCCAGTACTTATGCAACATTAGAAGACTCAAAAACGACATAATATTATGTCACAATTAGCCAGAGTAATCTATTATACTTTGTAATCCTTTTGAAGTCAAAGGAAAAAAAAAAAATACGTCAGCTGTGTAATCAGTAGTGAACACAGATCAAAGTATTCTTAGTGCACTCTATGCATTCGTCAAATATTGTACTAACGTTATATTAACTTTACCAGAACGTCGAAGTGTTCGTTAAATAGCGTAAGAAGGGAAAATTACGCATGAAAAATGACGCATATGGAAAAAATTACTTTGCTAAAGATACACACACGTTCGACTATACCCGTGCCTCGTTCGTTCGTTTACGTTCATTAGAATTCATTTACTGAATAGAAACGGGTATGCGCCAAACCGAGTAGTTCTTAGGATCGACAGAACAAATATGAAGAAGATGGAATTTCTTGTACGCGTGAGCTTACGACACCCGATGTAAACGAGTTCCCAACACGACTCGTTCACTGTCCAACCATATTTGATAATATGCAAAATTGTCATTTACCTCGACCTGTTATTAAGCAAAAAAAAAAGAAAGGCAGGAAACCTGAACGTTACACTCCTTCACAAAATTTACTTTTCACTCCTTTAAAAAATTCACTTTTCACAGTATTACAAAATTTTCCCTTACTGATAATTAATTCAACTACGTGTTTTATTGTAGATCGAAAATGCGACGAAAGTATAGGGAGATAAATTATTCAATTAAATTCCTATGTGACTTATTCTTCCAATATAATGGTATTCTTTACTTTCGTTATTTGCTGATTATTTTTATTGATCACTAGATATTCATTAGTTGAAGATTCAAGATGTAATTGGATAAATAATTGAAGTCAATTTTTGTCTGGATTATTGTTTGAATGTAATATCATTTCTTCGGTATTTGTTCATTGCTGTTGCTGATTATTAATATTTACTGTTTTATTAATTGCTTAAATTAATAGTCAAAAAATAGGGACAATTAAATGACGTAACTTACAGATTACACTTTATAGTTAATTTGCTAACCTTACTGTATAAAATATGAATATTTTATTCATGCAATCTTTCTTCTGATAATTATTTCGTACTTAAATTTTATGTATCTGCAATACATTATAATTGTACCTGGCAAAATCCATTTCATTTTCAAAAGTATTTGCAGTCAAAGTTTATTAAAACTATTTTAATTAAGCCGAAAGTAAGTGCCAGACGCTGTAAGTGCTCTTAGGCAAATAAAAATGACACGTTTGGTTCTATGAAACGGTTGTAGTTTCCTATCCTGTTATTAATTAAATATCATTGAATTCTACGTATACTAATCGGCTTCTACGATAAACCTAATTATCTCGAGCTAATTATCTTTCATTCTTTTTTTATACTATAACCACACAATACACATATTCAAATATTAATTAGTATGAACTTTTAACATAATACTTAATTGAAATTGTATAATTGCTTACGCATATTTCAACTGAATTGAAATTAAAATTAAAATAGTGATGAATAGAAGAGAAGAGAAAACTACCTTCTAAAAATTAAAAATTGTAAAAATAAATCTAAACATATGTAAATAAAATTGATAGAGATCAGTATAAACAAGCAACAACTATAGTGAACAAATGTAGCCTTCACATTCGTTTCTAATATACGTGTAATTTACATATTGTATTAAATATAATTTCTTATTGCTTATTTATTACATACTATTAACTATTAGCATAGACTATTTAGTATTCCTTTTCTGGTAATTTATTAAATGAAACAAGGAAATAGAAGGGGACAGTGTATGTTTAACATTCATATTTTTTTAATGTACTGAAAATTTACCTTGCACTTTAAAAACACTTAAAAATGTTTGTTTAATTTTTCTGCTTGACACTTATAGTGTTGTAAAAGTAATACATATGTATATAGGAATATGTATATACCGCGTCAGTTAAAGCGCACTTTGAATCGGTAAAGAATGCAAGTGCACTTAATGCACTGTATTCAATTCTAAAAGTAGCAGAAAATTGAATATATATACATATTTTATTCTAAGAAACATTTTCCCGCTTTTGGTTAACTTGAAAAAAAAAAAAAAACGAAAAATTTATTTACGCGTTATCATTAATTATTCATTACTGTTTATGCAAAAAGATACGTACACGACTAAAATATATAAATTTATTGTAAACAAAATGAAAACCTACATGAAAAAGTTGTAGTGAAATTGAAGTAACTATGATTTTATAATGTATAGAAAATGTATATTCTCGAGAAATAAGTAAAATAAATATATAACAAAAATAAATAACTCTCAATTTATTCTTGAATTCTATTTATGAAACAAAAGAGAGTTAAACATTGGTTTTTGCCTACAGTCATTATTAGTTACACGTAAAAAAATGAATATTAGTTATTTTAAGTGATGTTAATAATTACCAGCATTTTATTATACTAATATTTTCACATAAAACACTTGTAACTATTATTATTACCCTCTAAAATATCAGCTACAAGTAATAAGCACAAATATTTGTAAAAGACTCACCTATTGCCAGTAAATTCAATTATGTGTTTCTCGTTCATACGAAATTCAGAATCCTTGTATCCCCAGCCATTCCACTTTAATAATTCTTGCCTTCAAAAATTCGGAAAGATACGATTACTTGACACGTACTGTCACCGTTTCAAAATTGTTAACAAACTGTTTGAATATATATTAGAAAAATAAAAAGGGACTGCGAATAAAAATTCGTAACATCCTCGGCGCGCGTTTGTCGTACCACGTGACTGATCGAGCAACCAATCGGTAGTAGCAGCATTAGCCTCTTAGATAGCAAGCACCCGGTAAATAAATCGATTTTGTCAGAAATATGCTCACTAACAGGAAAAATAATAATAACAGCTAATTATTTCAGTGTTTTCGTTATTTGTTACACAAAACAGGTCATGAGAAATCACAATCATCACCGAATCAAAAAACGTTATCGATCGATTTCTTTCTTTTTCACGCTCAAATAGTACGAGGGGTGCTTTAGATTCGTAACATCTGCTGATGAGTCAGCTAGTACTCGCTTCAAGGCGTGGCTGCAAGTAGTTTAACAAGGTTCTCGCTCTCGTGAGACAGTTTTCGCGATATTGTCTCTGCCGCGCATCGGATTCTGCACGAACTGACGCGAACCAGAAATTGCCGGTGCATGACTGACCTTTCTTTCGGCACAACACTCTGGAAGCGGATGGGTCCATTTAAATTCTCCGTATCCTCGATCGTTCCGTTTTTCGGATTAGTCGACATATCCTATTGACTGCACCGCGAAGGGCCTAACCTTTCGATCCACACAACACAACCAGTAAAATGTAGATGCTCGAGCGCGCGCTCTTCGCGGCACTGTGTTGACTATTGACACGCGCACCGGCAAACCAAATTTAAATCAATAGAGCCCCCGCCCTATGACTACCCACCTACCGACGGATCTCCTCGTGAAAGGAACCAATCACTTACACCCGATACATTCTCGACGTAAATAACAAACGCTTTCCACCTACTAGTGGCAACCCAACTCACCACGCTCAGCGTTCTTCACACATGTTCTCTGATACTGTTACGTCTTCCTAGATTGAGGGATTCTTTCCATGAAAGGGATTTCTCACGCATGCGCAATTACATATTCCATACGAGGGATTTGTTAAATCGGCCCTATGTTTACTTAGATATTATTTCTATCTAATTAGGAGAACTATAGAAAATTTGATTTTATGTCAAATAACTTAACTTAAAATATCTTAAAATAATTAAATATCTCAGACACGTTACATATAAACCCTTTTTCAATATCATAAAGTCCATCAATATGATTAAATTGCAACCTAAAATTATAATGGTATAACCAGCTAAATAAATCAGTAAAAAGGAAGTAATAGTTATTATGTATTTGTAAGAAGTAAATAAATTTTTAACTGTTTTTTGCAATGCACTTTTCTATATTTAAAATAAGAAATAGACAATCCTGTTCGACTTATTATTTGTCATGAAAACACCTATAGAACTGAATGTAAATTCTTTCTTAAAAGAATATTCTTATATGATACGTAACATACATTATATGTACTTCTTTCAAAACTCGAATAATTTTTCTAATGAGCTTCAATACTGAGTAAATAGTAACAGACACACACGTTAAGTTTCAGAAACACGTAAGTACTTTGTACATATATAATTTTTTGTTTTTCATTAAAAATATTGGTATTTTGTACATAAGTTATAAAATTTCAAAATTTTTTTTATAAATGCAAATATATAGTGGAATTAAGTAGAGTTAGTATTATTGTTTCACATGGTCACCTAGTAATTTTGTGTGTTTTCATAAAATATTGAATGTTGAAAGTAAAGGCAATTATCTTTTCTTAATATTCCTATATTATTTTACGTATCATATGAGTTATTTTGTTGGTGTATAGAAAAATTGAGGATTTGTAACATAATTCCTAACAATATAACCTATACGTAAACCTTACCAAACTCACGTGGACATGGCGCAATATACAAAAATGCAACCGAAATTACTCAATGTAAATAGAGTACCTAGTCAACCAAAAAGACGCAAGAAGATTACTCTTGTATTTGATGAGCAGAAAAGACGGTAATTATATTAAGATTTATCGAATGGATTAAAGAGGTTATGAACAATATGAATATTCTATACTTTCAAACACAGAGAATTTCTGACAGGCTTTCATAAAAGAAAATTACAACGACGACAAAAAGCCAAAGAAGAATTTCAACAACAATTAAAACAAGAACGGAAAAAAATTAAACATGAGGCAAGTATGTATATATATATATATATGACTTTCACTATTCATGTAATAATAAAGTACATTATTTTTACAGGCACGAGAACGTTTCAAAAAGTCATTATCGAATCGTGATATTCCTGAAATTCAACAATTACTAACACAGCACGAATATGAAACAGAGGGACATACTGTTAGTATTTTAGAACTAAATGTTGCAGATCTTACAGAAAATAATGCATTAATTGGTGAGAATAAAGGTACTGATGAAGTAGAAAACAATGAGCAGGAGGAGGACAATGATAAGTGCTCAGAAAATAATGAAGAAATTGTAGGAATGTCTTTAGATCAAAGAAAGAAAAGTAAAAATTCAGAAAAAATTAAAAAAGAAACCCAAGTTGACAATAAGAAAGATTTAAAAAAAGCAATAAAAAAAGCTGCATTAAAACAAGTAAAGAAGAGTAAAGTGTTTCAACAAAAGCAAAGATTAGAACGACAAAAGAATAGGAAAGAAAGTATGAAAAAACGCAAAAGAATGGAAAAAGCCCAGAAACGTAGCGGGAAATTGAAAAAAAAATTAAATCATTAAGTATTTTCAAGCTTTGGTGTTTAAATATTGTAAATAAATACAGTTTGTAATAAACAATTTAAAAAAATTATGTTTTTTTCTTTGTTTTACTGTTTGCACTAAATGGACATATGTCTTTATTTAGGCATTCGCTACATTTAGGAAATCTTGGTAAGCAAATTTCTTGTCCAAATCCAACAAGTAAATGGTTTATTTCACTCCAAAGAGTTTTTGGAAGCCATTCTTCCAATGCAATTCTTGTCTTATCTGGTGTTTTTGTTGGCTCCTTCACAAATCCCAATCTATTGCAAATACGATGCACATGTATATCTACACCAATTCCAGAAACTTTACCCCATGCTATTTGCATGCATAGATGTCCCATTTTTGGCCCCACTCCTGGTAACTGACATAACTCTTCTAGTGTTTTAGGAATATCACCATCATATTTATTAATTAAAATTGCTGATGATTTTTTAATATATTCTACTTTTTTCTAAAATATAAATTATTTTAAATACAAGACATTGTGTAATTAATTTTTATCTTTCTAAGTACAGAAGAAACATTTTCTATACTACAACAATATTAATATATCTTAGATAATATTTACGTAATAATGGAATGAAAGTACTGAGTTTAATTGTTTAGCGCATCATAAGTTATACCTTCCAAAATCCAACTGGATATATAAGCTTCCCAAGAGCATCATCAGGAGTATTTGTTATTATTTCTGGAGTACAACCATAAGTATTTAATCTTTGCATAGCTGCATGAGTAACTTGATCTTTAGTTTGACTACTAAGCATCAATACAACTAATGCTTGATACCTAGCAACTTTGGCAGGAGCTTTTGTATCTACACATTTATGACAACCCATTTCGTCCACAGGTGCTGTTTTGTATTTTCTCATTTCTTTAACATTTTCTAGAATAGCTTCCCAATTTGATGGCACCCACTTCTGTTCTATTTCTTTTATTTCTTCCTTCATAGTTTCATCTTTTGAATCTTCAAGTTTTATTTCATTATTTTTTATGTCAAGCGTATTTTCTGTTTCCTCGTATTTTATTTTTACCGGTGTGCGTTTTTTTCGCTCTGTTTTCTTTGGTGATGTGTTTGCATCGGCGAAATATTTTGAAGGCACTGAATCTTCATTTTGATCTTTTTTCTGATCTTTAATTCCAGATCGTAAAGATCTTGATGTTGTTAGGACATCAAGCTTTAATTTTTTATTCATTTTACAAAGATTATGGTATGATAACGTACTAACTGAGGTTTTATTTAAAATGACTATACGAATAAGATGTCGGTAACCGATGACATAATTCAAAGCCAACATAACCTTCCGCGCTTACTTTATACCAATAATTTAAAATCCAATTCTTACGTTAGATAATCTGCGCATGCGCATTAACACAAAATTAA